TAAATATAAAATAAAAGTATAAACAGTATAATTTCACCAAGTTAAGAGCACTAAGGAAAACAAGCTTAAATAGAGTGATGTGGGTGACCATCATGTGCAGGGAGGGCTACTAACGTTGCAGAATCAAGAAGCACCTTTCCAAGGAGCTGACACTTGTGTTGAGGCCAGGACAAGAGATGGCACCAGCCTTGTGAAAACCCCAGGGAAGAGCATTTCAAGCAGAGAAAAGCAGCCAGCGTAAGTCCATGGCTGCAATAACTCGATGCTTTCCAGGAGCCTAAAGTCGGAGCTGAACCCCATGTATTGTGAGATCCGGTCCAAGAGACAGAAGCTAGGATATGTTGAACCTTCAAGGCCGTATTAAAAAGTTTGGATTTTATTCTAAGTGAAAAGAAAAATCATTATACATTTTTAAGAAAGAGGGTGAAATGATCAAATTGAAAAATAAAAAGTGATTTCTTATGTAAACACCTTTATCATTCAATCCGGCAGAACTGCATGTGGAGAAAAAATCGTTCCAAGAACGCTGTAGACACCTGCAGAGAGAATCTGAAATGATCAAATTGAAAAATACAAAGTGATTTCTTATGTAAACACCTTTATCATTCAATCCGGCAGAACTGCATGTGGAGAAAAAATCGTTCCAAGAACAAAAACTCCAAATGCATCGGCACTGACCTCAACCGCAATTTTAATGCTTCATGGAACTGTAAGTAGTAGACCTAGTCTCGGGGAAAATTGCTATAAAGAGCATTTAGACACCAAACTTAGCTAAACCACCTAATTATTTCAGTAAAAATAGGTATTCCTTGAGTGACTGTTAATTTTCTTATCTATAAAATGGAAGATAATCATCACTACCATTGAAGGATCATAAATGTGTTGCTGTGTGGAAGGAAATGGGGAGGGAGGAGTTGTTTATCAAGCCATCTCTTACTTAATATATCTGCTTGCTAAAAATCAGGCATAATCCAGAGCTATAAAAATTCAGATAGTCTGAAGAGAGACCTCAGGTTCCTCTTCCTCCTTCCTTCGTCTGATAAAAATTGAGAAGTATCAGTGGTTAAAACCAATATACAGGTAGTTCTTCAGAAGTTTAGTGAAAAGAAACATCTGGGGCAAAGAAAGTGAAGAAATTTAATGGAAATACGATGATAAGCAGAGGCCCACTATGTCACATGATGCTTTATAATAGTGGCCACACAATTATCACTTTAATTTCAAACATTCAAGGACAAATTACCACTTTCCCAATTCATACATTTCTTCTATGCCTAATTTTGTTGAAAAATCCCAGCTTTTAGCTCCATTCTGCCATAACGAATATGATAATAGCAGCTGCTATCCCTAATTAAGAGCTTCCTGCTAAAACAGCCTGAAGAAAATCAGCCTCAGAGAAGGGAATTTATACCAGACCCTAGTGAGTTAGATCTGGGGTTGAATTGGACATGGGGTCAATCTGGCTTCCAGCCTAGGCTACTTCTGGTGTGTTATATTCCTGTGGCTCTGGGAAAGGAAGGGGAAATAAACAAAGCTAAGAACATTCCAGGAGGTTAAGTCTGTTACAATCTGACGTGTGTGTGCAAGGTTAATCTGCAGTGACTATGACACGAAAGACACTGAGGCAGCCCTATAAACATGAGAGGCCAAAATGTTTAAAACATTTTGTAAATCCGCTTCAGAAGGGGCAGAAGCTATACTGATGGAGAGCAGATGGTGATTTCATCCATCCATGTCTTCTGTAGCCTTTCCTGACACCAAAAACCCATGTAAGGAGACGTATAAGGGCCCCACACCGGAGTCCGAGAAAGAGACAAAAGCTGTCATTGACTTCATTAGAAGCCACCTGAAATCAATCAAGGTTTACATCACCTTCCATTCCTACTCCCAGATGCTATTGTTTCCTTATGGATATACATCAAAACTGCCACCCAACCACAAAGACTTGGTATGCAGAAAAATGTCTGTGGTTTATACTTTAACATCACCATTGATGTTCAGTCTGTTCTTCATTAACTTGGGTTATATTGAAAGAATTGCACATTTTAATACCAAAGAAAAGAAATAATGAAGAGAGTTCAAATAATTACCTTTAGATTGATTTTTCATTTGATAAAATTGCATAGATAACAAAATCTTCCAATGTGATTCCAAAAAAAACCAATAGGAAGAAATGTCTAGGCCATCCACAGTAGACTCTATTACTACACAGCTTGCTGTGGAGTTTAACATATCCCATGGATCATACTGTAAAACCATACATAGCAAAAGCCAAATAGAAAGCAAAGACATTGCTAGTCCTGTCCGCCAGACATCAGATTTAAGAAGATCCATTGTATTTTAATCTTCCTGATCAACTTGGAAATTACACCAATTATTTGACTAGCCAAAGAAAGGACATAAAAATGTTCGTGAAGTTTCCTCACTAAGAATACACTGTCTTTCCAAAACTCTGATCCGTTAAGCACCATTTTCCTTTCTATGAAAACTGATTTGATCACGTGAACTTTGGACAAAAAACCACCACCCTGCATAAGGGTTTGAATGAATCACAAGAACTGACAGGGTGAATGAGTGGATAGATAGAGAGATAAATACTTTAAATTGCTGTAGAAGAAAAGAAAGCAGATAAAGTTCAGTGGCCCAGAGCCACAGAACTGGCAAATGTAGCATATCCAGTAAAAGCTGTGGTTCAAATACTGCCTCATAAAATTTTTCAAAAAATTTTAAAAGAGGTTATAATTTTTATTTTTACCTCAGTCAATTGTATTTAGCACAATAGCATTTAATTTTAGGTGGAGCGGAGATTAGAAGCAGTCATTAAAATCATCTATGTATACAAAACGAAGAAAATATACAAGCAATATTGGCTTATTGAGTCATTTATTATCCAATCTAGCTGGGAATCTGAACCCATGGGTTTGATTAATTTATGCAAAGGTACAGCAACACAATTTCAACCCACTCTTATGAAAATAATATTATGGACAAAAAATACACTTATACACAAAAAAACACTTTAAGTAAAATAAGAGTTCTTACACAGCAACTAAATTAAGAAAAAACATATTTCTTGGTTATATGCATTATACATATAGTCTTTTTAAAAAATCTTCATTTGGAGTGCAAATATGTTATGAATATATTCCATTTAAGTTCATCTGACAGTCATTCTTATAGCATAAAACACTAACATGTATTAAAGGTCATAAAATGTCACTCTGGAAGAGAAACCCTAATTTAACAACTATTTTAAAGAAGAGTCAACCACCTTTCTTCCCTCGTGATGCTGAAGTCAGATGAGTGTAGAAAAAGTGCTGTGGCAAAACAGGACCTATTAAAGACAAAGGAACAAGGAATATGATCTGAGAAACTGACAGAAGAGCCAAATATCTGAAGCCAAAAATGAATCTAAGAGGAAGAATAATATATAATTTAAAAGAAGGGAATGGAGGAAGAAAAAGAGAGAAAAGAAGGGGTAGAAATACAAAATAAGATATGGCGTTACTGTATATAATTAATTGCATATTTAAGAGTCTTCACAAGTACAACATATATTACTGAAAATGTTTCTCATTTAACCATTTATTTTATTTTGATCATCAAATAACTAGTACAATTGATCTTTAAATCCTCATTAAATTAATAGCATCTACATAATATTCTATTATTCCACTCTAACTTTCTCTCACCAGGCCAAAGTTGCAAAGATTGCTACTGATGTTTTATCAACTCAATATGAAACCCGCTACATCTATGGCCCAATAAAATCAACAATTTGTAAGTTTTTCCTATTATTTACTGTGTCCTTTTTCTCTAATGATTTTTTATCAATATTAAATAAAATTATAGAACTTATAAATTAGGGTTAGTACATCTGGCATTGCTAATTTAAATTTTAGTTTTCCTAGGACATTCTGAATTATATGTGGTTCTAAGAAATAGACTCTGCCCCTTTCTTGGGATAATATTTTTCTAGAAACAAATTTTACTGACTTTTTACAAGGTTACAACATCAACAGAAGTTATTAAATGAAGATAAATTTACAGTTTAATTCATCCACCTTCCTGTTTCCCACCTCTATACCACAAGGATTTATGCTCACAGGAACCAAAAAGAATTAGTTAGAGTAGAGTCTATGTATTTTTTTTTTGGTAACAATAATATTTTTTTCTTTTTTTCATTTTATTTCAGAATATTACAGGGGTACAAACATTTTGGTTACATAAATTGCTTTTGTACCATTTGAGTCAAAGTTATAAGTGTGCCCATCACCCAGATAGTGTGCATTGTACCCGTTAGGTATGAATTTCCCCATCCCTTTCTCCCCACCCCACCTGCTTGATTTCCAATGAGTGCTATTTCCGTATGTGTAAAATGTCAATACTATTAGACTGCAATAAGTTATCTATGTATATTATAATACCTGGAGCAACCACTAAGAAAAGTATACAAATGATATACTCAAAAACATCATGAATAAATCAAAATGGAATCCTAATAATGGCAGGCAACCAAGAGGAAGGTAAGAAAAGAGAAATAGAGGAATGAAAACAAAAAGAACAGACAAAAATCAAATAATAAAATGTCAGACTTAAGTCATATTAATATTACCTAAATATACTAATTAAGAGAGATGAGCAGAATGGATTTTTAAAATTATAATTCAATAACATGTTATCTATAAGGAACTCATTTCAAATATAACAGCATAGGTAGGTTGAAATGAAAAGGATGAGAAAGACATTCTACGTAAAAATTAATCAAAATGAAGAAGGAGTGGCTACATTAAATATCAGATAAAGTAAATTTCAAGCAAAGAAACTTGCTAGTGATAGATAGTGGTAGATATTAATAATGATAAAAGGATCGATCCACCAAGATGACAATGATCCTAAACGTGTATACACCAATTTCACCTAGGAGGCTTCTGCCAATAATTTCAAATTTTATTTTCCCAAGCACCTTTCTGAATAATGCTGATTAATACTAAACATATCCCTTTGTCTTATTTTGTCTTTTCTTTTCCCCATCCCAACCCTCTCTGAGTTCCTGTTTCTGTTAACAATATATGATATTTTTTTAGCCACCCAGAATGAAACAAATTATTTTTATCAAGTCCCAATGTTTCTTACACAGAGCCCCTCAATTCTATTCCCAAAGTGGTGACTCTACCCTACTTCAGGCTTTCATTTCATGATACCTTCTAACTCATCTCTACTCTTTTCAATCCAGATTAACTCTCTTAAAGTACAAAATTGCTTAGTGCCTCCCAAAGAAAATCTAAACACCTGGTCCTGATTTACAAGGTTTTCTAAACTTTACCCACAAACTCTCACTGTTCCCTTTGCTCCAGTCCAACTGGATCTCACTAGTCCTTAAAAATGCCTCCATTCTTTTCCATTTTTGTAGTTCACTGGCCAGAATGCCTTTCTTCCTTCTCCACCTGGAAAAATTTTAGCCTTTCTTCAAGGCTCTCCTCAAATACCATCTCCATCATGAAGGTGGTATTTGAACTGGCATTGGTCATGAAATGCCATCCTCTCTCACTAAGAATGTTCTCTTTTTTCCTTTAAATCTTCATAGTATATATGGTGTATGTATGTATTCCATTCCTATGGTACTTAGCATATTCTGCTCTGTCTCTATCGGTTTGCGCCTTGACTTCTCTCTCCTTCTTCATTTTTGTACCCTGTACTACCCACCCTCTCCAGTGCCAATAAAGTGTATTGTAAATATTAAAGATAATAAATATTTTTTGACTAATTTAAGAGCCAAGCCTATCTCTTTTCACCGAAATATTATAGTTCTCTTTCTTTCTTCATCACAGCTTTTAATTCTTATCTTTTAAACTTAAAATGTTATCAGTTAAACTCAGTACTTGTCCTAGAACATAAAATATTTATGTACAAAAAAATATTTTCTATTACATAAAGCAAAATATGTATGCATAAATGTATTTATAGTGTGTATATATGCACTCGTATATTTACATAACCTCTAGATGTATGTATACATATAGATGTGTTACATGTATATAACCTCCAGATATGTGTTTATATTTCCACACTTTTTACCAAATAATAACATCTTTAATAAAATTTCATAAAAATTGACAAGGAAAATTTGGATTAGGGGTTAAATATGTCTTTAAAATAACTTATTTAAGTTTTATTGGTCTTTCAACTACAAAATAGTTTACCCTAGCAACATGAATAACAAGAGACCTAAACTACTAGAAAGAATGCAATTTTGTGTAGTTTTTAAGTATAGTTTTCCTTGATGGTTTTCAATTACCAGTGATTCCTCCTCAGCTGGGAGTTGCTCAAGCTGCTTGTGGTGGCTTGGAGCACCTCCATCTGCAACAATGTGTGCCCAGGAAATAAATTCAATTTAACACTGACCCAACAAAAATGTAACTTTTAAAATTCAGCATGTGTTTAAGATATGTTGTAGATTCCAAAGTCATAATGATGTTTTACTATATACTCTGTACTATTCAAACTACTACTCTCATTCATTACTGCAATTAACTATACACATAATTATTTTTGTTGCTAATTTTACTTTTACACTAGTGATTTCCATTTTAAGAAAAAAACATTAGCATTTGTCTCTAATTAAATATTTACTGCTTATGTTTTTCAGACCCAATATCCAGTTCTTCTTCAGACTGGGCTTACGACCTGGGCATCAAATACACATTTGCCTTTGAGCTCCGAGATAAAGGCAAATTTGGTTTTCTCCTTGCAGAATCTCAGATAAAACCAACCTGTAAAGAGACTATGCTAGCTGTCAAATTTATTGCTAAGTATATCCTTAAGCATACTTCCTAGAGAATTGCCCTCAGTTTGGAATAAGCCAATTAATCCTTTTTTGTGTGTGCCTTTTACTAGAAAATCAATCTTTAATTATCCTTAGATGCAGTTTCCACATCACCTGAGTAGATCCTTCTCTTGCTCACTTAAGTCCCATGTTATTGCTCTTTGCTTTTATTTACTCTCAGTAGCACCTTAACAAAGTAGCTTTAACTACTTTTCTTTGCTCCAAGGAAAGATTTAACCCAGCAGAAAGCACTATTTGGAGTATTCTGCAAGGTGATACATAGTGGGGCACAAGAAAGAAATGAAAACCTTCGGTTTCTCCAGAATCAGATTTTCACATGTGGCTTCATCATTTCAAGTGCTAATGTAATAAAAAATAAAAAGCATTCCCATGCTTTAAAAATGCATCTTCTGTTTCTGATAAACCATTCTCTACATTTCTCTAAAGCATTAATAACTAAAATTAATGCCTCTCATTCAGTCTGTTAACAAGAATATCTTCAATTTTCAAAAACACAATTTTCCTATTTTTTTCTGATAGAAGTAGACATTTTTTATAATTTCAAAATAGCAAAAAGATGTCATAGCAGGAAATAAAATAGTTCATACAAAGATGAATCTGCACTTTAGACAACCAATCCAGTTCTCATCAACATAGTGTACACTAAATTCAAAATAGTTTAATTTAACCTGCCATAATCAGTAGAAACTACCTATCAAAACATCTCTTGGCAGTTACAGACACAGCCAAGACAGTCTGTCATCTGTGACCTTGCCCTCCTAAACTAATGGAAAGGAAGCCTGGAAATGTATTATAAAAAGAGGAGAGAAAGTCATAGTGACCAAAGGCAATCAGAGTAACTTGTTACTTTTATGCAGTTTATACTCCTATTGTTCAAGATGGTATTAGAAAATACCTTCTTCCCAACATTGATCCCTCAGTGCTTGATCAAGTGACAGCAGTGGCAGTGTCTGCATTCCTGAAACCAGAGCACAGAGATGCCCACCACAAGACTGACCAGGATTTGTGCAACAAGTAAAGACTTTCTTGACTTCCAGTAAACTCTCTTCTCAGAACACTCTGGATACAATACAAAGGTCCTGAGAAACCAAGTCAATAAACAACCGGGGACATTCCTCATGAATCTTTGGGGCCCATAAAAGAAAGGATGCCTTCAAATCTATAAGATGATGGTGTTTTTGATAGTCATGAAGTAAATAAACTTTTCTCATGCAAAATTGTCTAGGAAAAACAAATGTAAACTAACAAATTTGCTTTACAGGTGGAGGAGGGGAAAGTGACAGAATCGAAAAGTAAGAGACAAAACTGTAGCTATGAGATTATATTGTCTCATAAAAAACATGATATCTATACCTAAATATTTAGCATTCTGAACTGGCTTCAGAGCGTGGGAATGTAAATTTGTTCCATTATATAAGCCACATGGGAATTATACACTTACTCACACTTACTCAACTGAAAAAGGATTAAAATATATTCTAATACTAAAATGCACATAAATATCTCTTATTCCATTAGGACTTTAGGAGAAGGACATGAGAGAGATAATACCAACTGTTGAATATTGTCCTATGTCCATCCATTATTCAGTTTATAAAACACACAAAAATTTTACACATCATTTTACTTGGGTTGTTATGCAGTTTACTATTTCTTTTCTCAATCGAAAAAAGATTACCTGAATGGCTAAAAATCAAAAATCCTAACAAGACCATTCCTCATCCTAATTGAATGGTTTCTTAATGGCATCCCAGGGTATTTTGCTTCTTCAACTTTATGTGAATTGTGAAAATAAATATGTGAAGAAAAATATCTACATTAAAGTTAAAAAACTAAAACTTCATTTTATTTATGAGAAAGTCTGAGTAGTCAGTGCTGTGATTCTTCCCTTGTCATTTCTCATTTATCAGTAAAAGGGCTTTGTACTCAAGTTACAAACTGTGCTATCACTTAACAACATTCTTGATAGCATGTCCTACCAAAAAAAAATCTTCCAAATCATCATTTCTTTTCTAATTTTCTTACTATTAAATTCACTGAACAGCATTGTTTCATATTTTGAAAATTTGTTATTTTATAACAATGGCCTAGTGTCTGAGACCACATCTCTATTATATGAAATAATGAAACATCATATTGATTATTTTTGTAATGCTAATAAATAAGTTTCCAGAAAGCTTTATAACTCCAAACTGATTTTTAAATGTCATGTCAAAGGTACCCTCCCAACATTCTATACTTTGGGCACTTCTTTGACCACAAAAGGGCTCATTGGCTAAGTGAACATTAGGCTTATTGATAAGAGTTTCTGTTTCTCATTTAAGGCAAACATCTATATGTGATTTTCCTTAAATGAAAGAAATAGAAGCAATCCCCAAAGAAACTAAGAACATAGCACTGAGAACACACAATTGCTCCTTGTTCTTGTGCTCTCCCCTAGCCTCTTTATCCTCACAAAAAAAAATGTTTAAATTATTTTAACCATTCCAAATGGATGAATGTTGGGCTTTCCTGGACATGGGAGAAGGCCAACAGCAAAGAACTCTTCTTGATACCAACATGTGGTTCCCAGGACTATAAACTAATCTTTAACCTTTAATACAAAAAATGGAAATATGAATTTCTCTAAAAGAAAATATGTATTGGTCCCCCAAAATCTACGATGAAGTATTTTAGTGTTAAATTAATGCTGAATTTCCCACGATACAAATAATACAAAGCAGCAGTAAGCAATCTTAGGTAAATGCTCATTTATTTGAGCACCTAAAAGAAGCAACGGTGTCTAGAAATTGTGTCTGACCACCTGGATCTTAGACACTACTGTTGTTCCCTAAAATCTATTCTCTCCTTTTTCCCTTTTCCTCTTTCTCCTTTCTATTCTCCCTAGTAATAGGTCTCTCAATTTTGACTACGCACATTGCCATTCAAATAAAGGCTCTATTTCTAAAACTCTCTTGCAAATAGAATCATAACACTTAAATTTTCTCAAATAAAATGAAGTTTTCATTTTTTAACTTTTCATTTTATTTTTTTTTTTATTTCAAAATATTAAGGAGGTACAAATGTTTTTGGTTACATGGATCACTTTTATAATGCTTGAGTCACAGCTATAAGTGTGCTGATCACCCAAATAGTGTTCATTGTATCCATTCGGTAGGTTTTTACCCCTCCCCTCCTTCCCCCTTCTCCTTGATTGATTTCCATGAAGTTTTACATTCGTCTGTGCACATACATGCTCATCAGTTAGTTCCAGTTTAATAGCGAGTACATGTGGTGTTTGTTTTTCCATTCTTGTGATATTTCACTTAGGATAATGATCTCTAGTTCCATCCAAATTGTTGTAAAAGGCATTAATTCATCCTTTTTATGACTGAGTAGTACTCCATGATATATATATCACATTTTGTTAAACTAGCACCACATATACTCACCATTAAATTGGTACTAATTGATCAACACTTATGTGGACATATGGAAGTAACATTCATTGGGTGTCAGGCAGGTGGGAGGGGAGGAGAAGGGGATGAGCATATTCACACCTAATGGGTGAGGTGCACACTGTCTAGGGGATGGGCATGCATGTAGCTCTGACTCGGGTGGTACAAAGGCAATATATGTAATCTAAATGTTTCTACCCCCGTGATATTTTGAAATAAAATATATATGTATAAAAAATATATATATATAAAAAATCATAAGCCCTGGACCAGCTAGATTCACAACCTAATTCTATCATACCTACAAAGAAGAGCTGGTACCCATACTACAGAAATTATTCCATAACATTGAGAAGGAGGGAGTCCTCTCCAACTCATTCTATGAAGCCAGTATCATCTTGATACTGAAGCCAGGAAAGGACACAACAAAAAAAAGAAAATGCAGACCAATATCCCTTATAAATATAGATGCAAAAAATCCTCAATAAAATACTAGCAAAGCAAATTCAACAGCACATAAAAAATAATCCACCATGTCCCAAGTGGGCCTTATCCCAGGGATGCAAGGATGTTTTCACACACATAAATCAATAAATGTGATTTACTACATAAACAGAAGCAAAAACAAAGACCATATGATCATCTCAATAGATGCAGAAAAAGCATTCAACAAAATTCAGCACCCTTTCATGATAAAAACCCTCAACAATCTAGGCATAGAAGGAACATACTTCAAAATTTTAACCTTAATATAGATACTTTTCTTCACATATTTTTCCCAATTCATATGAAGCCAAAGAAGCAAAATATTAATCCCCTGGATGCCATTCAAAAACTATTCAATTAGGATAAGGAATGGTCTTGTTAGGATTTTTGATTCTTAGCCACTCAGATAATCTTTTTCTGATTGAGAAAAGAAATAGTAAACTGCATAACAACCCAAGTAAAATGATGTGTAAAACTTTTGTGTCTTTTATAATCTCAGTAATGGATGGACACAGGACAACATTTAACAATTGGACTGTTCTGGCCTGTAAGTGCTAAGAGGAAGCATCATGTGGCAAAGTCTAGGAAGCTGATTTCAAAGACCTCTGGCACACTTTGGCTCTTCTTCATGTCTTTCTCTTTCCTTTTGGCTGCAATACAATGTGATGGCTGATGCTGAGCAATCATCTCCGGCTATAAGATGATCTTGAAAAAGTAAAGAAAATGATAGAAGGAGCCTGGGCCCCTTAAGACTTCACCAAGCAGAGATGCTAATCCAGGCTTGGACCACATACCTTAGGACTTAAATGTGACAGAGAAATGAAGGTCCTCCTTATTTAAGCTACTGTTGATTTGGATAATTATTCTTCCCAATCAAATCTAATCCTAACTGATGCAACAGACCAGGAACAGCTGGTATAACAGTTCCAGACATATCCTAAATGGAAATCCTTGGAGGATGATGTGGTGTTATGCAAAATCAAACTACCATCCTTTGCCTGCCCTACTATCTCCTGGATTTCTGTTTGGATTTGAGATGATAGCTGCTCACCAAGACAACCCACTAA